AAGCTACGGGAGCTGGCCGGTGTGAGCACGTTGAACAATGGATGGAGGTGAGAGGAAGGGGGTACACAGTAGGTAGTGTAAGCAGCTTGAAGGGGTGACATGTGGACGACATGGAAGGCGCGAGAGCTTCATTCCCTGAGATTCTATGTACATACCTTGCCTTCTTTCCTCTGCGCCGTTAGTGATGTTGGTGGGGCAAGCACTACACATCCTGGGAATCTAGCGGGGGTGCGGGGAGCTTTCCTGCACCAGCTTACCAGACCAGCTGCCTTACTCCAGCGGATTTCGCGGCAGTGACGCCATGAGACCCTGCCAGAATTTTTCATAACCACCTCATTGGAGAGAAGAAGGTTGCGATGAGTGCAGTAGCGTGCAGACCTAGACGGCCAGACAAGGTAAGTAAGGACCGTAAGGTGAGGTAAGTACACACCTCCTTACCTGCCTTGAGAAAGAGAGGGTATTCCTGGGAGTAGTTGGAATCCGTACTCTCACTCATCCGTTGGCTCACTCACACTACTTACACGCTTAGTCATTCAAGCTCATCCTTCAAACGTCCCCAATCGTGACATCAAAGTGAGACTCTCGTTCCTGGTGAGTGAGTGGCTGGATCTCATCAAGATACATAATGCGCCACTGACTTAACATTTCAGCCTCATGAGGAAGAGAAGAGAGGGCAACTTCCAGCATCGAGATGTACTCCCTTGAACAAGGAATCCGTGACCATGCAGCTATGTGTAACTCTCCCGGGATCAACGGGGACTAGGGAACCAGGGGGTGAGTGGGTAAGGTAGCGACTACGGAGCAACAGACCAACACCAAACAAAACAACCTTATCGCCAAGATCGCGGTAGCCGAGTGCCGTTTTCTGTCGTTAGTGTAAATCACCGATGACGTGCCTTTTCTCTCCTTACCTCAGGCCTCAAACGCCCTGCGAGATGGTATCTGACCACCAAGCCGTCAATAACACGCGCGTCGATTCGTGGTGCTCGCCGCAGCCACTCAAGCGTCGTCGTCAGATGTGCGAGGCTGTCTTTGCTGTCCACCCATGGTACTAAAGAAGGGCTCATTGAATTTGTAAGTCAACTTTGCTACGGACCAACATTGCTAGTGGTGTGTGTCCCACCATGTCAGATTCTTACATGAACGTGGCGCCCTTCAGAGACCCGAAGACCTGTGAACACTTTCGTCTAGGCATGGGAGTTGAGTCACACGGGGGAGACGGGCGAGCTACCTATCGCCATCACATAACTCCGTCGCATCACCTACCTATCCCTGTCCTGCCTTGCCTGCGTCGATCTGTAGTGTAACTTCCGTGGAGGTTGTGGTGTGGTGTGCGTCGTTCCCACTCCACCGATGGGTGCGGTAAGCAGAGACTGAGAAGGGCCCGGCCACGAGCTAAAATGTCATAGGGCAGAGAAAATGTTTTGTTAATAAGCAGAACGAAAACGTGCAGGACCCCCAGTGCCGGCCGATGCGGGAAGCGCGAAGTACCGACATGAAATGTCTAGGTAATCCAGAACGTAAGAACAAAAGAACGAAACCAAAGTTTTGGCCGCGCTTCCGAAGCTCCGTCCGTTGGGAATAAGCCCTGCGTCAAATCCTTCTGACGCCCAGCTCTGCTATCACTGCAACATCATCTTGAGGCCTGAAGGCTGTGTATTTTTTCTCACCCCGAGTTGGAAGTTGAACGACGCCCGGCGGGCGGCCGAGCCTTTGCCAACGCGGCGCCAAGACGAGTAAAATTTGCGGACACGGAGGATACACGAAAGCTCCGTACGAACAGGCCATGTACGGAGTACGTTACGGCGTGTCTCACGTCCCGTAACCCCCGCAGACCGCCCGGCCATGGGGTCGTGAAACTTCTGAACTTCTGAATTCCTATATTGATGATGCTGAGCTTGTTTCCCTGTAACTTCTATTCTGCTGCCTGCTTGCATTCTGCAATGAGACTTTGCTCTGCTTCTCTCAATGGTCTAACCCCAAGGGAGCCAATGACTTCTCCTGCTTCTCTCTGCGCCATGCCCTTGGCCTGAGTATGTTCAACCTGAGCGGTTGACCGAAACCTGCAATGAGCCATACCCCACGTCAACAGACGCCGGCCCAGATGATTCACTTTGATTCATCACGTACAGAAACCTGGGGGGAACAACATCGCGGTACGCCATATAGTGACCGTATTACAAATGGGATGGCACCTAGAAGCCAAAAAGTAGAGGATAAGTCAGCAAAAGGAAAAATTAAAGCAGCCTCATGAACAACTAGTTCGCCCAACTCCACCAAGAAGAGAGCAAAAATCCACATGGACGGATGCAAGCAGGAAATCCACAACCCATCCGCCCACCACCTGGCCAAATCCACATGAGAAATCCGTAAGTGCGCATCCTTGCCTTCGATCCGCCCGTCAAACCCACGATCCCGCTCTCCTTCTTGGCTCCACATGACAGACTGGCGGGTACGTTGTACCTTTGATGTACCTACCTGAAGTACCTTGGGTACCTCTCATGGCCGACCGGACCTGATTGTTGAAGCACTGCGAGACATCATCAGCGAAGGCCCCTCTTTTCCCGCGGCTTGGGGTCGGTGGCTCCGGAGTCAAGTCGGAGTCCGACCCGCATCGACACGGGGCATCGTAAAATTCGTAGGAAGTTTTTGAGGCTACTCTGCTTGATATGGATGATGACGCTGTTTCTCGATAATATCGAAGGAATATCAGCTTCTATGCAATTGTAAAATAATATTGATCGAGTCACATCTGCAGTCGAAGGGCGGATATCTCGGTCACCCTTCCGACTACAACACCCAGTATAACAACTTGAGGTGAGCTGGACATACAAAGACATACCGCCGCACCAGTTTTCTCTGACATTCTAACATTCGATAAGGTGAGATTGTGGCATATCACCCGCAATGCTCTAGTCTATTCCATGTCAACTACTGCACCACACCGCCCTCAACCTCTGCTGCGTTGAGCTTGCGTCACAAGATATCGGAACAGCGCATCCGTTTCGATGCTACCAAGAAGAAGAGAATCCTTGGAGAGATGCAGACCGCGACCGCTGTTTCTAGCCTTCCAGGTGGCGCCCCACTTTCATCGTACGTCCCGCGCCGTCACGAGATTCGACTTGTCCGAACCTTCCGGCGGTCTCGTTGCGCTGTGTAACCTTGCCGCAGAGCCATCGCGATGCACATGGCCCATCTAAGCTACGCGATTCTTCCAATCGCCGGCTGACTATGGCAAACTCGAAGCTATTGTAGAAGTATAGTGTATTGCATTATACGCTCAGCACACATACCCTCATTGCGGGATCGTCTGGTTTCTATGATATGCGTCGTCCTCAAAGCCATGAGGTCCATCCCCACTTTCCTCCTACTTAAGTATGACATATCACGGCGTCAAATCTGCCGTCTTCGGATCCGAGGCTCCGACCAAGGTCCGCCAACACCTCTGCCCCGTTTCATCATCTGGACGAATTATAACGCAGATCGATCTTTCAACTTCCATCTCTCATCACTCTGGACCACCTTGTTTTCCTTTTCGAGCTTTCCCAAGATCTGTATGACCCCACCGCTCGCCGGGATATGCAGCTCCTCAGGAACGTCAGCGTAAATTACTTTGACAAGCTCCATGACCGTCCAGGCGTAGGGATCGCCCTCGATACTAGAGCCTTGCCTCGCCGTCCTTAGCGTACGAATGACCTGCTCCTCTCGAGCCTTCCTGTGGATGATGTAGTCTTGAATCTTGGACGGGCCGTTGTCAACCACGGGCCCGTGACCCGGATACGCCCTTCCCTTGAACAGGCTCTGCATTCTCTCGAGACTGTTGAGGTAGACGGTCAAGTCCTCGAATACTGCGGTACCCTGGCCCAAGACGTTATCCGCCGTGAACATGGCGTCCTCCTCCTCCAAGACGAAGGCCATGTGATCGACGGTATGCCCCGGGGTGAAGACAGCGGTAAGGCTGACACCGTCGACAAGAAACTTTTGGCCGTCCGAAATGTCTGACTGGCCCTCCTCGGGTTGGTTCTTGAAGACCTCTGAGCTCGGAGACAGCTCTAGCAGCTGCTGGATGCCGCCCGTGTGATCATGGTGCCAGTGAGTGATCAGTACCTTCTCCACCGTCGCCTTTTCCTGCTCGAGGGTTGACTTGACCGCGGCGATCCACGATGGCTTGCCCTCGCCTGTGTCGATGAGTATACGGCGGCTGCCTGTGCCGAGGAGATACGTGTTGGTGCCCTGCAGCGTAAACTTTCCAGGGTTGCCTCCCAGAATGCGAATACAGGCTGGGCTGAGGCGCTCGACCTCGGGTAGCGATACTAGTTGTGAAGCCATTGTGTTGTTGTTCTTAGTACGATTCAGACGGGCAATATGTCTAGTCCCGGTTGTAGTTGAGTGAATTGGCCGTCTTAGTCACAAACCAGCGTTGCGATTACATGGGGAAAGCACGCTGAACACAAGACCCCGCATGTTCCTTCAGGTATGCGACAGAGAGTTAGCCGCGACGTGACGCTGGGCATTCAATCTGGCGAATAGAGGATAAGTTGGTGCTCCATGTACGTGAAGACGCAATGGAGGGGCAGTGAAGATACCGAGGTTGAACCAAATGCGCCGACAGGCACTTTGATGATGGCTCTTGTAAGCGGCTTACCTCAGCAATGTCTTCATATAGAATTTCACCAGTGAAAGTGACCTCACTGTTGCCGCGTTGCGACGGGAGGGTCCTTCTCTGGACCCACCGAAAAGTGCCCCGAGGTTCTGTGGGAATTCAGGGGCATAGGGGGACTTTCGGCAGGCGGATAAGCAAAAGTTGTTATCGATAAGAAACCGCCCGATCAGGTGCCGATAAGACCTGGATTTACTGCCTGTTGGCCGCTGGCGCCACGGAATCTACCCGTCTGTGCACCCAGTGCCAGCTCCAACATTTGCAACTTCCAGGGATTGTTTGTAAGGCCTTTTGGGAACTGTGCCCTCCCGACGATCCTGAATCACTTTGCTCTTTGCGCATGAAATCTGTCGCAGTCTGGAGCCTTTGGTTCTGTTTTCCTTCTGCACCACCAAATTTGGCCTCGTCCACAGCTGCAACTGGGACTGGAAGCGACAGCCCGCGCGGACCTTCTCGATCTTCGGCTTGCGCCATCCACCAAAGCTCGCCCACCCGCCCACTCTCTGGGGAGCTTCACCACGGCGCGAAATCGCTCCTTCCGACAATCCAAACATCCTCTACTTTGCTCAGCATCACTGGCTCGGCTTTTCTAGCCGGTAAATCCTACTCTCACTTTATGTTTCCGTCTCTTGTCTACCAATTGACCCATTGTATTGCGACGAACTCGCGGCTAACGGTGGATGTCCAGTAGTATTGTTGCGCTGGCCCGACTCCGGCCGTTACCAATCCACGACGCCTTCCTTGCCCATCGTCGGAATCACGAACTTATCTTTTCGATTTTGGATCACATTTTGCCTCGGCTTTCTTTGCGCAATAGGAAAATCCCAAGTATTTTGCTTTCCAGGTGCTTCAAGGCAAGAGCAAATAGGCGAAAGAGCAGGACGACCGACCGATTAATTAAACAACACCATCCACAACATCCAAAATGTCTGCTCGACCAACGACGCCGATGTCCCCAAAGACCGCCAAGGTCAAATCGCCCCTCCCTGGCACACCAGTCTTTGGCTGCGGTCAGTAGACCCCGATTGTGACTTGCTGCGGCGGCAGGAATGGGCCAGAGTCAGGCTGACAGGATACAAACAGAACACATCCAGCGGCTGTTCACCCAGTCCACAGAGGGTATTACCCAATGTGTCCACCACTACAAGATGATCCTCAAGAACATCTTTGAGCAGACGCCTGTTGTGCCGCAAACATTCAAGAACTCTGACGGCCAGGTCATGACGTCTCTCACATCCAACTACCTCTGTCTACAATGCTCCGCCATTGTCAATGAGGATGATCGTCTCAAGCACGGCACAAAGAAGCAGCATCGCTTCTGTACGTGGCCCGTCACCGAAAGCAAATGTGATTTTCCTAACAAAGTTTAGATGTCGACTCAAGGAGTGGTGCCCTCTACTGCCAGATCTGTGATGACCTAGTTTGGGACCCCACTCTCGAGGAGCTTCGAGTTCGTAAGATGGGAACAGGAACTTTTTCCAGTAAGTTGTCTTTACTCATGAGGGGCGTCCCCCTCGTACCTCTAACTATAACCTGCGTTGTTGTATCGCCCAGCTTTGGCTCCTAGCTGCCTGACCAACATGCTAATTGATCTTCTAGACCGCAAGAGAAAGCACGATGAGATGTTCTCAGATGGCGTAAAGGACAGTTCTGCAAGCAACCCAGGCTTTATATCCAACAACACCACCACTGCCTCTTGTAAAGCCAATGGTCTGCGCGGAATCTACAATGCCGGAGCAACATGTTACCAGAATGTGGTGCTGCAGAGCTTCCTCCACAACCCCCTCCTGCGCAACTTTTATCTCAGCGACGGCCATCAGAGCACCGATTGCCAGCTGACAAACTGCCTCAGCTGTGCCATGGACGACATGTTCCAGGACTTCTATGCTGTTGAGAATACTAATGGATTCACGGCGGCTAGTATTCTGTCTGGATTCTGGATCTCGGAGAAGAAGGCGTTTGAGAACCTCGTCACCACCAAGGAGCAGGATGCCCATGAGTTCTTTCAATTCCTCGCCGAGGAGCTGCATGAGCGCAATGGAGATGGCAAGCGTCCTGAGACTGGAAGCGAGCATACATGTAATTGCATCATCCACCAGACATTCTACGGCAAGCTCCAGACTGGCACTACTTGCCAGAACTGCGGAGGCGTCACCAACGCGGTTCAATCCTTCCTGGACCTCAGTCTTGGACTGGAGAACCTCTCTCACAGGAGAAAGAAGGGAGGCCAGAAGATGCCCAGCCTGACTCTGCAGGAGTGCTTGGATGAGGAATACGTCAAGTCAGACAAGTGCGAGTATCGGTGCCACAACTGCAGCTCGATGCAGCAGGCCAAGAGAGCCACCAGCATTAAGCGGCTGCCAAATGTGCTCGCGATACAGCTCAAGGTATGTCTAGCCGCATGATTACGGTGCCCTTGTCGCCAGCTAACAATCATTACTAGCGATTTGAGTACAAGCAGGGCCGCCATGACCGCGCATCAAAGATCGAGACGGTGGTTAACTTCCCCCTTCAGCTCAACATGCTGCCATATACTACCAGAGGTAGAGGCGCGGACTCCAAGGATGCCTTTGACCTCGGAAGATCTTGCACGTACGACCTCCTTAGTGTGGTGGTCCACGTGGGCGAGATCGACACGGGTCAGTTGACACATGACGAACCAATTTGAACGCTGTTACTGACTGAGTACCTAGGCCATTATGTATCCTACTGCCGAGTAGGCGACCAGTGGTTCAAGTTCAACGACCACAAGGTTGAAATGGCGTCAAAGTCAGACGTCATGAGTGCTCAACCCTATCTGCTCTTCTACATTATTCGTTCACTCTCGTAACCTCATACCTCGAGAGAGAATGAAACGTATCAAGCCTAGCAGTGTAAAACAGTAATGCCACCAGGTCAAACGAGGTCAAGACGGTGGCCCGCCGAAAGTATGGGGAAAAGGGGCGCTTTGGAATGGCGAAGGCGGGGGGCGACGGAGGATCAAGCATCTTGTCGGCGTTGGAAATGAACGTGGGTAATGCATCATCTTGGGCCCTTTGGCAAAGGCGAACAACAAAATCCGCATTTTGGATGGCAATCCTAAGGAGCCATCATTGTATAGAACAGCGATCAAGCGTATGTACTTTCTATTGAAATCTCGCAAGCCAGAAATATGTGCCAAATCGGGCCCCGTCAGGGCAAGAGGGCAGGCCTATCATCATGAGCTCGCCACCCCATGTGAGGAGGGTCGCGTTGCCTCGGTCTACTTTCTAAGGATCTGTTCCCCCTTTTTTCAACTCGAAGCCGCCTCCCGCCACGTCCAGTCTTTGCACTCAAAGTTTGCGTAACACCAAAACTCGTTGCTGAGCCCTCGCTCGTGGCTCGGCTCGTATGTGACGGTTCTGACACCGAGGGGCTTGTATATCCTGTTCACCAACTCGGCCATGCGCTCGCCAGTGCTGACGATGACACGGCCCTTTTCGGCGACATCCGGCTTCATCATCCACCGGACCGACATGGCGGCTGAAGATCAAAGGACTTTATCAGCATGGAGGCGTTCTTTCTTCTACTTGAATCCCGGGAGGAGGGGGTTAAGCTTACTCTTGGTCTGGCAGTCCTCACTGAGGAATGGCGGGTCGATGACGAAGCGGTCTACGACACCCTTGAGCTCACTCGGGAGCTTGAAGGGCTGCGCAAAGTCGTAAAAGACGAACTCAGGGAAGACGTTGAAGCGGTTGTCGTGTTCCAGCAAAAAGACGTTTGGCCGGGCCTCGCTCTCGTCTCGCGTAGTCTGCAGAGTAGTCAATATATCGTCCAAAGACATGGCGAATCGCCCCTTGTAGCGGTGCTCTTACCAGGATATTATGCAGAGCAACAAACACACTGGGCGCAGACACAATCGCAATCGTGGTATCCGCATCAGCGCCCTCGAGGAGTTGCCTCGCCAAGAAACCCGCCGTCTCGTCAGAATACTAAGGGAACAGAAACAAAATTTCAAGTCAGAATTTTTTGCTTCCTCTTTTCCAGAAACCCTTGAAAAAAGCGCATTGCTTTTCTGCGTGCTGATGAAGGTTCCTCCTTACCCAAAATTGCGACTTATTCCAGTCCTCCATGAACGCCGCCATGGATATCGGCGCCTTCTTGGCCGCATTCGCCTCCGCTAGTTCCTGGAGCCTCTCAAACTCTTTCAGACGGGCATCCTCCTCGGCCTTGAATTCGGCCAGCGCCGCCAACGCGTGCGAAGAGAGAGCACTGTCGGCGCAAAGAAGAAGTGTTAGTCAATACTGTGCCACTTATCCGGTGGAGACGGGGATAGTTCGAATTTTTCGGTTCTTTGGAGCTGGCTTACAGAGGCTCGTCCTCGCTGTCTGAGATGCTCATCTTGACTGTGTTTTGACGAAAAGTTTTAGTGAGTTTGATGAGCAAAGTGAAAAGAGAAAGTCTGCATGTGAGCCAGCCGCGAACGAACAAAGTTTTATGATAACGACTGCAGTGACCAAGAGGGTTAAAATGTAAGAGGAAAACTGAGTCGCAACGTGAGGTGAAAGGACTGCTAAGTCTGTGTCAAGGACCCAGTTTGAACTGTCAGAAACTACACTGTATCAACGAATCAGCTTTGACATTGCAGACATACCAACTGATGCCAACACCACGGAGCAAAAACCACATTGTAGAAAGTTCGCACATTTGAGAGATGCTGTTCAAACTGTACATGGATTCCTCGACTTTTGCAACTCTGTCTAGCTGACTACTTATATACACTCTAAACGACTTGCTTGCCCAGAATCAAATCCCTCCAACAAATGAAACCCAGGCTTACTCGTCAAGAACGTGCAGGTACTTGCGCTCCTCCTTCTTCTCCTTCTCTGTTGCAGGGGGCAGGTCGTAGAAGTTGGCACTGCGGAAACCTTGCTATAAGGAAGTCAATACACGTTACTCTGATAGAGAAAATCACGGGCGTCCTTACCAGGTAATGGTATGTGAACTTGCTAATGTCACCGGGCTCGATGCCGAGGTCCTTGAATGTCTTGGCGGTCTCGTCAATCTCCTGGTCAATGAATTCACGCTCAACTTCGTCGGCAGACATGGTGTGCCACCAGAGGTACTTGTTCAGGAGACCGGCGATAGGCTTGAGGACAGCCTTCGGGAGGTTGATGTGGCGGCGCTTCTTGAAAATCTCACGGTCGGCAAACTCGGCAATCTCGGCCATCGAGTATTCCTTGGGGCCGTAAAGCTCGTAGGTCTGACCTGCTGTGCTGTCGTCGTAGAGCATGACCTCGAGAGCCTGGCCAACGTCGATGGACTACAATTGTTAGGTCTTACGCAAGGTAGGCATCATTACGGAGAGCTTACGTGGACGGGCCTGAATCTCTCTTGCATGTTGTTGGCAGTGAAGAGGTTCATGACGTTAGCGAGCTTCAGAAGGAGGTTGTCTTCGAAACCGAAGACGGGCGCCGGCCGCACAATGGTGGTCTCGGGGTAGATGCTGCGAGCGACTTGCTCGCCACGAGCCTTGGTGCGGAAGAACTCAGATGTTGACTCGAGGTTGGCGTTGTAACTGGAGACGTGGATAAAGCGATCGACATCGTACTTGGCAACAGCCTCAGCTATCCGCTCAGTTCCCTCGACATGGACATCCTCGAGGGAGTAGTTCCTAGGCGTTTTCTTAGCCATCGATCTTCAAATGCCCCTCGCTTCATAGACCTACTTGGTGGGGTAGTCACGGCCGACCAGGTTGTAGACAACATCGGAATGTCTGACGCTCTCTTCGATCGATTGGGTGTTGTAGAGGTCGTACTCCTATAGCCATTTCATTAGTCTTCCTAGACTTCAGTCCGCCGCATCGGAAGGGAGACCGTACAAGGAAGACGACTCGGCCAAGGTCACCAGAGACCTTCAAGTGGCGCTTGGCCATCTCCTCACGGAAAGGGACGATAACGGTGCATCCTTGGCGAGCTATTGGAATCGATCAGTATTGCAGTAAAAGTTCGTCGAATGTGTATCGTCGTACCAAGCCTGTTCACGATGTATCGTCCAACCTGTCCCGTTGCGCCGAAAACCGTCGCAGTGTGTCCTGTAATTCAACCTTAGACAAACGTCCCGTAATCAATTCGTTCGATCGGTTCATACCACCAAGAGAGTGTCTGTATTCAGAATCGAGTCAGCAACGTCCTATAGAAACGCAATTGATTGGCATGCCTACCTTCCGCCCTGGGTTCGCAGGATGGGTTTGCCTGTACGGGTGATGGCAATATCGGAGATGGGCCTGCTTCTCAAGGCATTGTGCGCGACCTTCTGGGTCGACCGCACGGCGGTTTGAAAGGAGGCCATTTTCGGATATCGAGGCTGCAACAAATAAGTGCGGTGGCCCCTCAATTGACTCGCAACTGAACACTTCTTGACCGGCCGAAAGCTCCAAAGTCGCGAGCTTCATCCAGAATCCCGGACGGAAGGTGAGCGGGTCACGTGGAAGCAGGTGCACGGCCCATTTCATGGTCATAGGATCGGAAAAACAACCATTGGTCGTCCTATCCGGAAGTGGGTTCTGTCCAGAAGCATCCGAATCGGTGCTGCGCTACGTACTTCTGTACCTTAGCTGACTGACCAGGCTGCTAGCTAGCCGCGTTATGTGCATCGCCCCTCCGGAGCTGCTACTAGCAACTGCTGCTGCTTGCATTCATCAACACCATTCACACAACTACCAGACGAACTCCCCGGCATTTTCCACGACGAAAGTCCGCCCCTGAGCCTCAATCCCTCTGCCCCTGAAGCTGTAATCTGAGGAAAGAACTGTCATCTGGTCTTTCTTCAACGATTCTGTCGTCATCCTCAACCCCTCCGAAGCTCACACACCCACCGACCGAGACCTCCCACCAAGATGAGCGCCGACGCAATTCCCGACTTCCTGGCGGAGCAGCGCGACGAGGCCCCCGAGGAACTTCAGCACCTCGTTCTGGAGTTCGAAAACTACTGGGAGAGGAAACTCTGGCACCAGCTCATCGATGCCCTCGGCCAGTTCTTCAGTCACCCGGGCAGCAAGCCCCAGCGACTCTCCTTCTACAAGGTCTTCATTCTCAAGTTTGCGGATAAGATCAACCAGCTTAAGCTTGTCGACTTGGCATTGAAGGCTGCCACCGAATGCTCTGGTAAGGCTTAGCCACACAGGAGTTAGGAGAGGGCATGAAACTGACGGGGTCGTTATAGATGATGAGGAGCGCCTCACATTCCTCCAAGGAGTCGCGAAGAAGGTAGACAACGAGAACTCACAGGATGCTTTGGTATACGCTTCCGTCGCTGTTGCCAGAGTAAAGCTGGATCTGGAGGATATGGATGGCGCCCGCAAGGACCTCGACACAGCCGAGAGAATACTGGACAGCTTCGACTCCGTCGAGACGATTGTCCACGCAGCGTTCTATGATGCGAATGCCAACTACTACCAGGTAAGCACTTCGCCCACCTTCCCCAAGCAAGTACAGGACATTTGCTGATGTGGTTTCCAAATTCAGCGCAAGATGGAATTCGCAGCCTACTACCGCAACGCCCTTCTCTACCTCGCCTGCATCGACATCAACTCCCTCACACCCCAGGAGCGACACAGGAGAGCGCTGCACCTCAGCATCGCCGCATTAGTCTCCGACACCATCTACAACTTTGGTGAGCTGCTGTTGCACCCCGTCCTCGACGCCCTCAAAGGCACACAGGACGAGTGGTTCCGCGACCTCCTCTTCGCCTTCAACCGCGGCGATCTACAGGGCTTCGAGGCTCTCTCGGCCCGCATGCGGGCCAAGCCGTTGCTCGCCGAGAACGCCGGCCACCTCCGCCAGAAGATCTACCTCGCGTCCCTCACCGAGGCCGTCTTCCGCCGGCCGCCCCACGACCGTGCCATGTCCTTCGCCGATATCGCTCAGGAGACTAAGGTTCGTCCCAACGAGATCGAGCACCTCATCATGAAGGCCCTCAGCCTGGGTCTGCTGCGCGGCAACATTGACCAGGTCGACGAGGTGGCGCACATCACTTGGGTCCAGCCCAAGGTGCTTGATATGAAGCAAATTGGCAACATGCGCCAGCGGCTGCTCGACTGGGACTCGCAAGTCAACCAGCTTGGTAACTGGATCGAGACCGCCGGCGGCGACGTGTGGGCAGCTTAGTGGACAGCAGAGGATACCAGGGTTATGGGCGGAAAGGAAAAACTATGCCTGTAATAAAGGTCTACGGTGGCGGACGGGGAGACCAGTGTACACCACTAGACTTAGAAGAGGAATGGAATTTGGCCTCCAAAAAAGGGCCGTAATGATTTTGATGACAATGCTATTGCCCCTTTTCCCGATGCGATAATTCTAAAAGCTCAAAACGTTTTTGGTAATTGTCGTTCCTTAAGCTCCGCCAGGAATGATGCTGTCATACAGACTACGTGACCAACACTATTAGTATCTTATTTGTCTTTATATTCTACCTTTGCTGGCTGCTCGGGCGGTTCTCGATATCGTTTATACAGTATTAATACACAGTATCAGTGAAAACTCTCACTGTCTCAATAGACTATCTATTAGTATCTTATATCATGCACTCTTTGACTTGGCTGTAGGTTGTCCCAGCACAATGACGGATCCCATGAGCCATGCAGGCCACCACACGCCCCAGATAATGACAGGTGTATACATGCCCCAGACATCCCAACCAAAAGCCGCTTCCTTGAGGACCTCGCCGATACTGATACCAAAGTACGACGAGACAGAGTACAGCGCCGCCGTCGGGGAGGCGAATTGGAGAAAAGCTGCGCAGGCCCAGCGAACGGCCGCGTGGTTTGGCCACGGCCGCATGAAGGACAGCGGGCTGGCCATGACACCAACGAGGAAGGCGAGAGAGAAGTTGAGGGTCGCCAGAGCTGAGAGAAACATGCCGAGCAGGAGGAGGGAGAAGGACTTGATCAGCTGGTATTGCTGGACCGTAGGGTTGTACGTGGATTTCAGGAGCGAGGAGATGAAGAAGGGCAGGGCACAGTTGGCGAGGGCGAATGCTGTGTATGCGCTAGCGAGCATCTGTGGGATTGTAAAGTGAGCATTTGAATCTTGGTTGAGCCGAGAATGGGAAGGAGAGCTTACGTTTGCAGGCATATGATTGAAGATGTACAATGGCACGACACCGAGAAATTGACAGACGGCAACGAGACCCAGAGGAAGAAACAGATCGCGTTCAACGGCGGGAACAGAAGGTGACGACGTGTTCGTTTCCTTTGCGGTTTCGAGTACCTCCATAGACGCAGTGCCCTCCTTCTCGGATTTTACCACCGAGTTGGGCGCAGCTGACGGCTGATCCTGGTGGCCACTCTTCACCCAGAGGGAGATCGCAGTTATGGTAAAGCTGGCGGCTAGGATCATGGC